GGGGGGGGGGGGGGGGGGGGGGGGGGAGATAGAGAATTTCTTGTAGTTGATTTGAAAGTTTTACAGTTGAATTTTTTCGTTTCATCATGGTGGCGTTGTACGTGCTCTGCCCGTAGAAGGAAGATTAGAAAAAAATTGCACAAAGCTCTCGCGAGTCCCGGGGATTGGGAAAGGCACAATAGCGCCCTGAAGAAGCTTGCGGCACCGAAGCGAGTTCATGAACAACCGCAACCACCGGTATGTATATATGTATATGCATACATGTTCATTCACCGTGACCTCTTATTTATTTGCCTCTCCTTTCCTGCGCCTTCACATCCTATCCACTTGACTTACTGCCACGGACTTTCCTAGTCTCTCCGACTATTTTCAAATTTTCGCCCTTACCTATTTGCGCTACAATCTTCCGGGACTTGCTTACACCTCGCTCCGCTTTATTGACTCAGTGTACTTTTCGCTAATTTCACGGATCTCGAGTTCACTTCTTACTTGCCTGTCGCACTTTAACATTGCGTAACATTCTCGCGTACTAATGAGAATCTGCTTTTTCACATGGATTCTTATTAACTTGATGGACTTGTTGTGTCGTCCTTCTTTCATTAACACAAGTGCTAATACTTAAATGCAATTGAAATCTTTGCTACAAGGGGTATACAATTTTAAGTCTGATTTTAGAATGACTTCATTATCAATAAATATATCTTCTATTATTATAAATATATATATATATATATATATATATATATATACATACATACTATCATAATAAATTATTTAGCAATATTTAAAATATTTGATACTTACTTAATAATTTTTGCACTCCAATAAAAGTAATAATAATAGCTTTTAAAACTTAAAATTGCGAAACCATTTTTCTACATATAAATTCTAAAATACCGAATACAACAAATAAAAATTCAGATTAGTATCAGTCAATAAAATTATGATCTATATAAGTAGTATTAAATACCAGGATGCAAAACATTAAATATATTACTGTTTAACGGCATTTAAACGTTTTAAATGTGCATACAAAAATTTCTATTTATTAAAAGGAATATATCAAATTATTTAAAATTAATCTAATATTATTTTATTTTTAGCTCGTATCTATCATTGCCATCGTGCAGATATTAAATCAATGTTTTACAATATTTGTAGGAAAAACAAAATTATCTAAAAATACCTCTAAAAATTTATTTAAAAACAATGCCTCATATATACCATTTAATATGTAAAAATATTTATATTAATTATCAGTAATACGAATAACAATAACGTATAATTCAAATAACCTGCTCTGCAAAATGATTTAAATTCATAAAATTAGATATTCATTCATTGTTGCCTTGGAAAGGAAATAAAAGTATCTAATAATTAAAAAAATATTTTGGTATTTCCCGTTATAATTACGTTAAAATTTACAGAATTTTTGATAATATATTAATATTAAAAGTGTGTGTACTTTAATAATTAATATAATTCTACGACTGCAATTACATTATCAACTAAATTAATGAATAATTATCTAATTTTTCGTATCGGGCTTTAAAAAGAAAAGAAAAAAAACAATTTTGAGAAAAACTCTTTCAAAGTTACTTAAAATACTCAGACTCTTAATGTAATAACTTTCAATAATTAAAAAATTACAGTAAAAAATCATTTTCTCCGTAATCGGTATTACATAATATAGATTTATATTTATAGAATAGAATTTATAGACAGATAGGCATATTTCGAACTAAAAATAGACTTTTCAATATTAGAATTTTCACTTCAATTTAAATCTGATTTGTAATGCATTCTTGAATTCATTATTGAATTAACAAAAAATTGAAATTACATTTAAACTTCATTTTAATTTACTTCTTTAAATCAATATCTATAATTACCGGAATATCATTTTTCAAGGAGAACTTTTATTAATAAATAGTATTATAGTATTATAGTAATTATGTCTTCTCAGAATAGACATTAGAAAATTTTTTAAATATTCTCTATGCATGCATAACCGAAGAAACCAACGAAGAAGAAAAAGTATAGCTTGAAACGTTTGAATGTATTGGCTCAGCCAATCAACTTGCATCCAATTATGATGCCAGATCCTTTTTCTGTGAAACAATCTGCTTTAACATATAGGATTACGAAACATATGAAACATCTAGCAAAAATGAAGGACATACCACAGCCTATTTTCAATGTGCCTGGACGAGTAAATCCCATGGCCCTGCTCATCGAGGGTAAGTATTTATCATACTTCAGTTATATTAGTATTTTGAGTAAACGTTAAGAATGTCGGAACCTTTATTTAATTGATTAGTGTCATCGAATGATGATATCTTCGAAGCTGAAAATAAATGGGAATAGGAACAAAGGCATCGGAAATGTAATATATTTTAAGGAATTTAACTGCAATAAAGTATAATAAATTTATTTATGTTTTAAGATTATATGCATATATAAGATTATATTAGATAGACATTATCAAATCGTATATTCACAATTAAAAATCACAACTCTTATTACAGTTAATGTAATTGTTTATTTCAAATTTATATATGATTAATTTATTTTTGCAAAAAATACTTTGAAACAAATAAAATTTTTCGAACACAATTATTTACAAAATTTTTACAATATGATAAAATTGATTAAACTATTTATTTTAGTTATATGGTTAAATAGATAAGTAGAATTTTATAAATTTACATTTAATATTATTCATAGAATTATAATTTATCACTCTCTAATCGAAACAAAAACAATCCAATAATTTATTGAAAATGTTGCCATTCTTTTATATAATAACTTCAAGCGAAGTTAAAATATCTGTTTAATGAAAATTGAAAACATGTATATACAATAAACATTACTTATTATTTAATGAAATGCTTTGTTTTATATTTAAATACCAACTTGAAAATTCTATTCCAGTAAAAATCTTATTCATAATGTCGAAAATATAAATATTATTAAAAGAAATATATATTTTTATTTTAAAATATTTTGTTAATAAAAACAATTTTTTTTTAAATATGATTTATATAATTATAATGATTCACTTATTTAATGAAAGTATTTTTTTTTTAAATATTTATTCTGCATATCGATTAAATTGCCTTAATACTATAGTAGGTAAAATATTATAATTCTTTACTTTGATTAATCAACGCGTCACTCAACACATCATTGGTTGGCGTTTTCTTTCCCCTAACGTTCTATTTTACGAAATTTTATCAACAAAATTCTATTAACGGATAATAACCGTAACTTAACAAACAATTGATTAATTTCATTGGACGCATTGGATATAGGAATTACTAGATTAACTTGCACAACTGTTAAGTACAAAATACAATTGTTGGTAATTAGTATCTCTTCATTTTTATTTCTTAACTTAAAATAAGGTTATACAGATAGTTTGTAGATTTGGGATAAGTAATAGATCTACAATAATTTCAAAATTAACTTTTTAATAATATAAGACATTATAGCAAGCACCATAATAATAAATAAATATATATATTTTTTAAACTTTAATTTCGAACAAAATTTAACGAGCTAAAACGATGTAAGGAAGAAAATTATTAAAATATCTGTATAATTGATAGAATATACATAATCTATAGAATGAAATCAATATAAACTGTATACTTTAGAGAAATTATTTATTATCCGGAGATAATTGAGTTTTCTATCTATTATTTCATAAATATTATAAAAAAAATAGATCATTATTGTAATTGTCACTTTGAAATAGTTTGTTAATAAAAGCTATATTAATGAATATGATCATAACTTACACGAATTGGTATTTCATTATTATAAGATAATTTGATAAAAATATTTTTAAATATGAAATTAGTAGAATAATATTATATAAAGAAATTGAAAACCGATAAGATTAAAATATTTCTTAAGTAACTAAAAAATAACTGAATAGATCGCAAGTTTTATTAGTATTAAGTGATTGTGTTATTCTTGGTTTACTAATTTTCAAAATTTTTTACATAAAATTAAGCTTATTTGTAGAAGAAATTAAGTTTTTAATTAAGGTATTATTGCGGAGTATATTATAGCTCACTATAAATTCAAATGTACTTAAAATTTATAGTTTTAAACAAATAATATTTATATACAATAATCAATAAGAGAAATATTACTTATAGATTTTTGAAACTTTCTTAATAATACTTTTTATAAAATATATGTATTAAGAACAATAAATAGAGGTAAATAGTTAATGTATGTTATCAGATAGATATTTTTTATTATACATAATTAAAAGATTTTTAATATTTTTAAAATCCTTTCATTTATACAATTTCCAGCTATTCATTTATTTAAAATTGATATCATTTTAGCTGCATTACTATTGTATTTTTTTCTTACTCAATTCAATTTCCGCTTAAAAATACTACTTTTTTCTTTTACTATATGTAAACGTATTAGAATTTAAATCTTTTTGTGTATACTCTTATATTTTTCTTAACAGTAGCTTATTATAAATCATTAAATCAACTCTTTTGTAAAATAACTTTAAATACAGGATATTGAAAATAAAAAATAATTTATTTTTATTATTACCTTAATATTATAAATCGGGAATGATTAAATTGATATGTAAATTTATTTAAAATAAGAAATTATTGTACATAATACAATGCGTAGGCTTTCGAAAAAAAACTATTTTTGATTGTTTGTTTTTATATTTATTATTATTATTTTTTTTTAAATGTTGCATGCTAAAATATTTTTTAATAAGTTCTTCCTCTATAAATATAATATATACTTCTTTTACTTATCTTTTGATCCAAGGAGATTACGGAATCGAATTAGCGAAATAGGGCGAGAGGCAACAACGAAGAGCGAGCTTTAATTGAGAAGGTCGTATTTTCTTTGGGGATTGTTTACGCGAACAGGCGATGTAATTGTTTTCTCTTTTCTTCTCTCTTTCTCTCTCTCTCTCTCCCTCTCTCTCTCTCTCTCTCTCTCACGCACACACACACTCTCGCAAAGAACCCATGGAGTTCACAGTTTAAAGTTTCGATGCTTCTAACAAAAAGTCTGTTTTACAGTTAGTTTCTCCATTCGCTCTCCCTGTCTCTATCTTCTTAATCTTTTTTTCTATTGTTTTGCAGTGAATACTAATTAAGCTCTTTTTAATCTTTGAACTCATTATGACTTGATATTCGCATCTGGATATTTACAAAGAACAACTTAGCGTCTATTTTTTATTTATTTAAGGAATTTAGCTAAAGATTGTGAACATTCATAAGAGTTCTGATTAAAAAATTTGAGTGACCGATTTAATCGAAGACATATTATTATAGATTCTTGCAATCCATTAAATTTGGAGAAAAAAATTAAGTTGCTCATTTGGTAGTATTTAAAATATAGAAATTTCATTGATATCTTTCATTTTTATGGCTCATGGTTTACCTTTCACAATACGTGCAACGTCCTTAGAAACGTAGGAACTGTTGATTTTCATTTCTTGAATCATCAGCATAAAAACTTCGTATCTTTGACCCAATCCAATTTTAATGATACTATATTCGTTTCTTCTGAAATAATTAATAAAAATAGTCTTATATAAAGATATAATGAACATCTAAATATATTTAGTATATTTCAAATATAGGAGTAATTTAAATATAATATAATGCGAAAAAACGTTATAAAATATTTAAATATTCAAATATTTAAATATATATAATAATATGTATTAGTCAAGACAAATGTATAATGTAGCGACCAGTAGTTCAGGTATAATAAATGAAATAAATATTAAAATCTGAGAACACATTATTATAAGAATGTTTTTATATTGACAGCAAGCACTAGAATTATAAACTTGGCAAAGTCTGTTGTGAGACCATTGGGTTTAGAAACAGATCTGAAGAAGAATGCCTTCAGCGTGTCACCATCTGCACTGAAAGCAATATGCAGTCCACGATTAAAAGTTCTTGCAAAGCCGAAGAAACGTCCGCCACACAAACGTTAAAGGATTTTCTCAAATCATTGATATATCTTTTATATTAATGAACTCTTCGTCAATCGATACGAATATTAAAGTTTTACGAAGCCGTTTGCATTTAAATTATTATATTCATTTGTATTTTTGATCAAACTAACTCATTTGTTCTTTATCATTAGTAATCAAAATTTGTTCATACTCGAGATTAATATTAAAATGTAATGTTATAAAAAAATAAATAAATTTACAAAATGCAAAAATTGTTTATACTATCAACAGTTTATTGAAGAAAAATTTATCAAATATTAAAATTATATTAGATCATTAGTGATCGATATAATTATGATATAAAAATTATATAAATAATTTAATTTTCATTGACAATGAATATTATTCTCATAATTGGGCTAAGCGCTTATCTTCGAAAATTAAGTCTTATATTAAAAATGTGAAAATAATGCTTCAAATATTCTGGTTTATTTAAAAGTTAGTAAATACGGAATAAAACATATTTAAAAGAAAATGTTTCTAAATAATTTGCAGCCATTTATTTCGATGAATTATTATTGACAAATCTTTTATAAATTCACGTACGGTATATACATGCATATATATCGGATTAGTCATTTTCGATTTCATACTATTTTTCATGTGGATATCTTAAACACGTAATATACAAAATTTTTAAAATAATCTATATAATAAATTTTTGTATTTCGTAGTATTTATATCAACATTTACGAATTACAATGAATAAGAAGTGACAATTATATTGTTTCATTGTAATAAAGGAATTCTGTCAAATAAACTATGTATATGTAAATTTTTTATATACTATAAATAAAGACAAAAAATATTTTAATATTATTAAATTTATCAAACATTGATATTTTTAGATTATATAAATTATATTTTTAGATAAATACATAAAATGTCTATCCATTAATATAATATAAGTTGCTTTAATAACGTAACGTAATTTAAATCGCGTAAAAAAAAAAAAAAAAAAAAAAAAAAAAAAAAAAATAATAATAATAATAATAATAATAATTGATAATTTGCAATTCTATTTTATGATAATAATTAGTATTTTAAAGCATATCTATAAAAGGATTGTAGATACATAAACTCAATTGGCATGTTAAATTTTGAAATATTCACATACATTGGCTTTTACATCTATTGATTTTGCATTTATTTATTACTAAGTTCTTTTGATTAAAGTAGCATCCATAATAAGAATATATAATGATATATAAATAAAATATCTTACTTTTAAGACTTAATGAATTATAATATATGGAAGATTAAATACTTCCAGCTTTACAATGAAGATTACAATGTATAAAATAGTATACATCTGCACAGTAAAAGATTAAAGTTTTTATTATGTATATTAATAATGAATTTCAACAGAAATAATGACTTTATAATGTAGTTTAATAGTATGGTTTAACAGTATTTGGAGCTTAATTAAAACATAAAAAACGATTTAAGATATGTTTATATAAAAAGAGTAATTTAATATTATTTATCACCTGTTAAAATTTATCACCAGTTATATCATCTGTTAATTAAACCTGTTAATAATATTCTAATACTATTGGTAATACAAACTCTTTGGTAATTGATGAGTTTTGTTACTATTTAGGCTATATTATTAATTTATATAATAATTGTACGATTTGAATTTCGGTATTCAGATTTCTTGAAGCTTTCATATAATTTAATAATATATAAAAAGGAAAAAAATAATAAGTATTACCGAAAATAATTGACTAGGATACGCATAAAGTAAATTACATAGAATATAATTGATATAAAATTACACTCAAGAGACTGTCGTTTCAATAACTATAGTCGCATATTTTTCTATTATGAAATTATAAATAATTATTAAGACAATAAATTCAGTAAGAAATAATGAAAATGCTAATACTTTTTTCCTATTATATTTTTCTCTTTAGCTTTACTCTGTTCTGCAACTGTTTTTCAACATTTGTTTTCTTAATCATATTTTCTTCTATGTAAAGTGAAATACACTGAGTTTGAATGAGCATAAATAATAAATTATCGGTGCAAAGACTTCTGAATAATATACGTATAAGTAGTTAAATTCAAATTTTCAAGAATTAAATTTAATATATTAATTAATCTAAATATAAAGTATCTTTCTGAAGATTTTTGTTTGAGATTTTGAAACACAAATACCAATTTCAATCTTGTTATATTAAAAGCTTTAAAAATACTGAAATTATTTTCTATTTGAATATATTAACGAAAAAATTAGAATATTTATAAAAGATTTATTATTTATCATATTTATTTGCAATATATTAACATTGGCATATATAATGAATTAAAAATAATTAATTATAATATAGTTCGAGACTTAAATACAAGCTGTAAGAAATATATTGAAAATGTAATTAATTTGATTAAAGTTTTAATAACAATACATATTTTCTTTTATTACAAGGTGTTTTGTAGATATTTCGATAAGATTATTACTATATAATTACGATAAGTTAATTATATTTTATTGAATTTAATGCGGGAACTTGAATTTTCGTAATGTTTATGCAGTAGCATTCGGTTCAAAATTGTAAACGGTAATTAGAATCTTATTTTTAATTAATGTTTATATCGCTTCTGGAACTCAAATGCGCCTCTAAGTTTCTAAGCTGAAATGAAAAGTTACTTCTTTAAGTTCAGTGAAACCTTTGCTTAAGTTAAAGACAGTTTGAAAAGATGAAAGATCCTATTCATTCTTTCTTTTTTCTGAGTTTTCTATCTCAGAGTTAGAGACTAATATAGATATTAATATCTCAATACTTCATTTTGAATTAAATCGTAATGTACTAATCGAATTCTACCTTTTTAAAGCTTCCAACTTTTATGATTATATATACCATTTAAATCATTTTATTAATAATTTATGTACGTTCTTGTGAAATCAATTACATTCCATTATTTAGTTTATAGTACTGACATTTATGGTCAATCAAGACGCATGTTTAATAAAATACTATAATTTAATTGTTTTAAAAAATTTTGAATTTTGAATTTTGAATTTCTTTTTTTTTGCTATAATTTATTTTTTAATGAGATTCATCCACGATTTATTTAGTATATTAACATGAAAAGATATCGATGAATGGAGATATGAAAAATACTGGTGTGTTTATAAATATATGAATCATGTGAAAAAAATTTTATATTTATAATTAAGATACAATTGCATATTAATTTAATGTTTTCGAGAGAAAGTAACTGAAATTCACTTATTTAAAAGACAAGTTGATTGCATTCTTTAAAATATTACTTATTCGGTAGATCATTCAAATTTATTAATGCTTTTGAAAACCTTTATACCTTACAAGATTCATTCATTTACAAGATTACTTATATTATCCAAAGAATTTCTAATAATACAATATTTATTTGGTATTTATTTCTTCTAGAAATATATAATTATTATGAATTTATGTTATATTTATCAATCATATTTATATTAATTTTATATGATTCTTACATTATTTCTAGAAATACTTCAATTTTAAGCATATTTGTAAATATCAATTTTTTATTCAATATTTTATTTTCAAATTTAATTTTTCCTGTCTAATGATATTCAGCATGATGTTTATTTAAGATAATTTTTTTAGAAATTTGAATCTTAACTTTTCTCAACGCTTGTATTCAAAGATGAAGATTATAGCGTTGAATATAAAGGCATGTGTAAAATGGTAAAAAAAAAACTACGATTAACAGCTTTTAACTACGAATTGTTGGATTTATTTTGAACATAGGCATATATCATAATTGCTACGACTTTTTTTTATATGAAAATATAAATATTAATTTTAAATATAATTTTAAATATAAATAAATTTGTCTAAAAATAGAGTACCGGGCTAGGAGGGCCAAATATCTAAAGTTAGGTGTAAACTCCCAGATGGTGGAAGGGAGGATTGCGGGCAAGTGGACATGATAGTGCATGTATTCAATAATAAATAGCGTTGGTATTTGTTGTAGTTTATTACGATAATTGCATTAGTTATATTATAATGATTTTTAGTTTATGTTTGAATGCCTTCGTTTCTTGAGTTTTGTATTACCATATAGAGCTGTAATGTGCGTTGCATGTACGGATAGAAGGGCGTAGCCTTCTGGTCCTCTATATGTAATGCATGTGGTGGTGGTGTTATACACGTAGAAGAAAAAGGTCGTAAACCCCCGTGCTTCCTTGTGCAGTGACAAGTGGCAGTAGCTTGAATTTGTCTTGGTATCGTCATATTGCTTACGTTGAACATCTTATTGTTTACGTTTTATCCGTGAGTTCTGCAGATTTTGTCTTCTTGTAGGCAGCTAGTGATGTCTGCAGGTTGTGCCTCGAACGGCTCCTTATAGGTTGTGATTATGTCGTGCCTTGTGCACCAATGTTTACTTGCACTGCGGCGAATGTATGATTTGATTTGCACTTATCTTGCACTTGTTGTGAGTTGGATATGACTAGACTTTGCCTCTTAATCGGCCTTTACCGTGTATGTCTACATTCTTGTTATTTGGCGTTCCCTTGGAGAAGTAGCCTTGCCGGCTTCTCTGATGACAAGAGACTCCTGTGTGCGCCTTGCTGGCGTCTTTCTTAAAAGCATTCTCGGCTATCGCGTGGTCTTTACGAATTGACTCCTTCTTGGCATTTCCAATCAGAGCGCCTCTTTCTTAACGTCTTCAATCGAATTGATCATTTCATTATTGACGGCTCAAATCAGAGCGCTTCTTACTTGCATTCCCACCATGAGAGGGGGACTTCTTTGGCACGTTCTCGCTTCACTATCCGAGCCACATGTAGCTTTGGGTTTGACAACAGCGTATGCGTGCAGCGTTGTCTTTAATATCCCTTTTTTCGGATGTAAGACGAGGTGGTTTTTGCTTATATTTTTATGACTTGATTATACCAGAAGTTTTACTGAATTGTTTAGATTTAGATAATCCGAGGCGCGTTTTGAATGTTATTTCTCGAG